CCCCCCCCCCCCCCCGCCATGGCAAACAGTCATGGATAATTAGCCTTAGAAGAGCCATTTTGTAGACTACAGCTTTAAGCAGGATGCTAGCCTTCAAGAAGTCTTTTTTTTTTTTGTGACCGGTAAGGGGATTGCAACCCTCGGCTTGGTGTCACCTGCACCGCGCTCAGCCAGTGAGCGCACCGGCCAGCCCTATACAGGATCTGAACCCGCGGTGGGAGCACTGCTGCGCTCCCAGAGCCGCACTCTCCCGAGTGAGCCACGGGGTCGGCCCCAAGAAGTCTTTTTGTAACTTTGACTCACAGCCTAGCTCATGGGAAAAGAATGCAGAACTTAGTGCTTAAGAAAAGCAAGGTAATCAGTGACTCAAAAAAAAAAAGCTCATCAGTAACTTCTGTTAAAGAGTAAGAAGCTCATCAGTAACTTCCAAGATGACATCCAGCTTAAGTTGAAGAGTTACAGGACTGCCCATGAGATAACGAATAGACCAGAGTCTGTAAGAGTGCATGTAGCAGCCCCTGATGGGAACAACCTCCCCCTTTTGTTTCCTACACTCTTCCCTTTAAAAACCTTGCTGAGGCTGCTGCCACGGGGCTCGCCCAGGGTTCTAAGGCATGGATCCAGGCACCGACCGCTCCTCCTGCAACCAGGCAAGGAGCATGCCCAAAACACCACTTCCATGTTGGTGGTCCACCATAGCCACCATGATAGCCATGGCTGCAGCAAAAGGGGCTAGATGCTACAACCATGCAGATGACCCGCCAGCTACTTGATGGCATCGACACAAGGAGAGTCACCAGCGGAGACCAAAGAAAAGAAGAGGATGTCTCTCCACAAAGCCTATTCCAGAGTGACAGAAGCATCTGCTCTATGATAATAGTGGGGAACCTGAACACACCTCTCTCAACACTGGATACATCATCTAGGAAACAAATCAACAGAGTAACTGGTACTCTTTCAGAAGGAGAGCAGAAATCTAGGGTTATCAGAGGTGGGAGTGGGGAAGGAGTGGGGGGTGGGGAAAGAATAGATAAGGGGCATAAAGAATAAGATTTGTAATAATATATATGCTAATAATATTGAATTGATCAACATGTCAATGTTGAACCCCCAAAATATGTATAATCAATTGCGATTCACTAAAAAAAAATTTTAAAAATCCTTGCTGAGGCTCCTGAGCCTTTGAGACAGTCTTAGTCTATCTCCTCAGGTGTGGACCTGAAAACAAAGCTTCCTATCCTCGCATCAAGATGACAAGCAATGTCCCGCCTAGCTCAGCCGGTTTTGTAAGGCTCCCATGTGTTAAATGCTAGCACACAGCAGACTACAAACTGCTAGAAAAATCCTCAATGGGCATTACTGCCTCTCCAGGGGCACTTTGGAAATATAGGGGATGCTTTTAGTTATCTCAGTGATTGGGGGTTACTACTGGCTCTGAAGGGTGCGGGGTGGGAAGCTAGTTTTCCTGCAGTGCACAGGACAGGAGGAATCATCCGATATCCTGCATGACTTTTGTCTGTCATGCTGGACACTGACACGGATGAAAACCTGTTCAAAATTGTCTTGGCTTGAAACCTAATCCTGTTTTGTATATAAACACAAAGTATTTTTTTGCAGTTTTAACGTACCCCGGATTTTCTAGGAATGTAGCTACCTTGTAAATCAAAGATAGATATGTTATTTTGTGCAGAATTTGACTGTTTTGGGAAATCCCATAACCAAGGGCCTTGCTGCTTGAGGTATTTGAGATGACAGTCATTACAATATAAGCTATAAGAAAGAAAGAAAACATTGGGGATAATAAGTAAGAACCGTCAGCGTAAGGCTTCAATAAAAGGATGCTGGATAGTCTGAGCCCTCCTGGAAGAAAATCACAGAAGGAAACTGTTCTTTTTGTCCTGTTTAACCATTTTCTTCCTCCCCCCACCATGTAAAAGGAGGCTTATTTAGATATTAGAATCATCTAGTGATTGAAGCGTTTAATTGTTTTTTGCACCCCACCTTCACCCCAGGACTTACTGTTATATTTCTTTACTTAATAACTAGCCAACTATCTCTTAACAGCATTCTATTTTGCTCCAAATATACATTGAAAAAAGTCAAATAAGTCAATGATAACTTATCTTTTCCCTACAAGGAGACTGTATTGTAGATTATAAAACCTGCAGAACAAGTTTGTACGGAAATGGGAGGCATACAAAGAGCGCTCTGCTTTGCACCCAGAGAGACTTGGAGTCATACTGCCTGGAAATCGCTTTAATGACCTTTTATACCCCCTGCTGATAAAACATATTAGAAAACTGAGAAGTTTCACAGTGGTAACAGATATAATTTCACAATACTGAACTGGATATTAGAAATGGTGAATTAGATTCTTTGTATGTCCCTATGGTCTGCAAACTTAATATGTGCCTTTAAACAAACCAAAAAACTCATTAACTTGAGAAACAAATTTGTGGTCATAATCAACATTCTATTATGTCATCTTCTCTACCATTATTTGTTTAAAATTCTGCAGTTCTATCTTTAGAACAAGATTAATGAGTCTGAAATATGACAATTACTTTTAAACAGAGAAACAAGAACATGCAGTTAGAGGAGACGGGACACTGCTAGTGCGGTGATGTCATTCAAAACAGGTGGCAGGGCAGATGTGGAGACCTGGAATAGCTTTTCCGGAGAGGCAGAAAGCCAGTCTTCCAGCCTGTTCTCAAACATGCTCTAAGGCAGTGGGCAGAGGAGTATATAGGTGGTAAAATAATCAGGTGGAAGGTATTTACTGATAGAGAACAAGGCCACAGGGTGTTCCTTGGCACAGTTCCGGCTGTGGCTATGTGGGGTCCTGCTTGGCTCGTTTAGGATTCTGCAGTTCTCCAGGCAGCAGGTTCTTCCTTGCTGAAATATTCCTGAGAGAACGCAAGCTCTGCATCTGCTGCAGGCGCAGGGTGAGCTCCTGATCACAGGCCTGTTGCACGGTTTCTGTCTTCTTTACATCCCAGTTCAAAGCAACAGCCAATGTTTTGGGGTCTTCCTTGGTAACCAACTGCAGCAAGAATAAGAACCATTGAGAACCACTACTTCTGTGCTCCTCTCTGCTGCTTTCAAGCTTCTTTAGGGGAGCAAGATTAGGCATATCAGTTTAAGTTCTGTCTTTACTCTGAAATGCCAGGTTTCTTGCCAGTAAATTGTCATATGCCTTTTCCTACCAAACAACACCGACAGAAAAGAATCTTTAGAAAGAAGTTTACTTAGAGCAACTTTAAAGTCCTACACATACAGGAAATTTAGCCAAGTTCAAGTTAACACAGTTTTCCTCCCTTCTATCTACAACAGGGACATACCTGGGACAGGGACAGACAATAAGTAGCACTCACCCTGATGGGTTCCCTTTGTCAAGCTTCTAGTTCCCTGGCCTTAGATGCCAGTACAAGACGATCCCCTCAAGTTTGCCTTTTCAAGTGATATTTTACAGGCCTTGGGATTGACTACGGGTGTTCTTCGACCACTGACAGAACTGGAAGCCATCTTAGAAGCTTGAGCCCTGCTATTCCTCCCTGCCAGGTTTAGTCGTTTCACTACCAAAGATGGATAAGAGACTTATGTTTGCTAATCTGAGCAAGTGCACCCATTTTTTTTAAAGCCATTTTGATTTAGATTAAATAAGGTGTTTGTAGATGTTTCGGCATATAATAGGCAAATTGGTAGCTATGATTCTGCAGAGGTGAAAAAAAATCCCATGCATGCCTCTGCAGAGTAATGCTACATCTCCAGGGCAAGTCATCCTCTGCAGTTCAGTTTCTCTGGTTCTCGCCCACCTCCAAATCCTGACTAGATAAATGCAGCTCTGGAGCAGGCTTCTCCCTCAGTGCAGTCAGGACCTGGCTCGTAAGTGCAGTTTTGGAGATCTCTCTGCCGACACCCGTGTCAACTGCATCTACCTCTTCACTGACGACAGCTTTGGACTCTGCAAAGCAGATGAGAGATGGAGATCAGCAAGCTGTGAAATCATACAGCCACACAATCAACTAGCTTGAGTAATCAGTCGGGCAAGAGAGAAAAGTATCCTTCCAAGACCCCAGCAGCTGTGGCTTCAGTATTTCTGGCTCATTGCAAACACAGGGTCCTGTCTCAAGGGAAGGCTCCATTGGCCCTGAGTTCTCAGCGTGAACCCTCAGCAGAGACCTACCTTCCTGCTTTGACAAGATGTTGCCCTCCTTCTCCAAAGCCTGGAGATAAAGCTCCAGGAGTTGCTTGGACTGCCGGGCTTCCTCTCTCTGGTCAAGCACTTGCTGGAGGGTGTTCTGGAGCCCTTGGACTGTGGCACAACTTTGGCATAGTTCCTGAGCCAGGTCTGAACATGGAACCTCGATGAGCATCTAAGAAACAAATACAGACTCTAAGAAATCTACAAATCAGGGTTCAGATCCCCATACCAGCCAGCAGCCAAAAAAAAAGAAAGAAATCTACAAGTACTTTTAGTTATTTTTAAGTTTTATATTGCATCAATTGTTGAACAGGTAATATTAATATATTCACAAGGTTCAAAATTCAAGTGGTGGGCCGGCCCACAGCTCACTCGGTAGAGTGTGGTGCTGATAACACCAAGGCCACGGGTTCAGATCCCTATATAGGGATGGCCGGTTTGCTCACTGGCTGAGCGTGGTGCTGACAACACCAAGTCAAGGGTTAAGATCCGGGGACCGGTCATCTTTAAAAAAAAAAAAACAAAATTCAAGTGGTGGGCCGGCCCACAGCTCACTCGGTAGAGTGTGGTGCTGATAACACCAAGGCCACGGGTTCAGATCCCTATATAGGGATCTGAGCCCGTGGCCTTGGTGTTATCAGCACCACACTCTACCGAGTGAGCTGTGGGCCGGCCCACCACTTGAATTTTGTTTTTTTTTTTTTAAAGATGACCGGGAAGGGGATCTTAACCCTTGACTTGGTGTTGTCAGCACCACGCTCAGCCAGTGAGCAAACCGGCCATCCCTATATAGGGATGGCCGGTTTGCTCACTGGCTGAGCGTGGTGCTGACAACACCAAGTCAAGGGTTAAGATCCCCTTACCGGTCATCTTTAAAAAAAAAAAAAACAAAATTCAAGTGGTACAAACCTCAAGAGGTACTGGTGTTATCCCCATTTTACAGAGGAAAATGAGGCAAGAGTGGGTAGGGAACTTCCCAAACATCGCAACCGCCTGCAAATGACCCCAGTGCTCTCTCCTTCTCACCACCATCCATCCTCACGGCCCACGGTCCCTGGGATGATGGCACTTTTCCTGTACCTGTGGGTGGCAGCCTCATAAGATCTCTTTGAGAGTCCTAAGCTTCCTTCCGGAGCCTAGCTGTCAGGGCGTGGGCTCTGACAAATTCATTCTTATTCTGACGTCCCTATTTTGGTAGGACCTATTCTGTTCCATATTCTTAGGATATATCATAACATGCCAGTCTGTTGGGGTGGTAAGGGACCTCACATTCCCTTTCTGTTTCTTAAAAAAAAGAAGTCAAGCTTGCTTCTGCTTTCCTTCTACCTGGAACATTGGCCTCAACCTTCTCATGCAGGTTCCATCTTGTCCTGCAGCTCTCAGTTTAATCATTACCTCTTGGAACCTGCCAAGGTTTATCAAATGCACGTAACTTTAACTCAGCAATTACCCCTCTATGAACTTATTCATACAAGCACGTGTGCAAAATGACATTGGCATAAGTTTCCACAGCACTGTCTGGAATACAAGACTAATGACAACACAAATGTCTATCAATGGTGGGGGGAGCTTGTTAAATAAACTCATGAAATGGAGTACCACGCAGTGGTAAAAAAGGAACAAGGATGCCTTTTATATACTGATCTGGAATACTCTCCAAATATTTCTGTAAAAACAGAGTAGATATGCCTCCATTTGTGTAAAAAAGGGGAGGAGAAAATATATACATATTTGTTTGTGTATAAAATACCTAGAATGGGAAACTGATAGACCAGTTGTCTCCAGGAAGGGAAACCTGATAGGCTGGGGCAGGGCTCAGATTTTTCCTGTATGTCCTTTTGTTCAACAGCTTACTGCGCTATAACTCACATACCATACAATTCACCCATATGAAGTATACAATTCAGTGGGCTTTAGTATATTCACAGAGCTGTGCAACCATCACCACAATCAATACTGGAACATTTTCAGCACCCCAAAGAGAAATCCACTAGCAGTTACTCCCTACTTCTACTCAGTCTCCCCAGCCCTAGGCAACTACTAATCTACTTTGCATCTTTATGAATTTGCATATTCTGGCCATTTTATATAAATACAATCATAAAATATGTGGCCTTTGTGTCTGGCCTCTTTCACTTAGCATGTTTTCAAGGTTCATCCATGTTGTAGCATGTAAAATACTCCATTCCTTTTTATGAACGAATAACATTCTCTTATATGGATTTACCACATTTTATTGACCAATGGGTCTTTCTCCTCCCCCCCCCCCCCCTTTTTTAAAAAGGGAAAAAAAATTTTTATTCTCTGTAAAATCCAAAAAACTTGCCCCACGGGCTCCATCCAATTGTAAGGGGATCTCAACCCTTGGCTTGGTGTTGTCAGCATCATGCTCAGCCAGTGAGCTAACCGGCCATCCCTATATAGGATCTGAACCCATGGCCTTCGTGTTATCAGCACCACACTCTCCCGAGTGAGCCACGGGCCAGCCCTCTCCTCCCCTTTTTTTGATGAATGCATCAGCTAATTGACATTTGGCTTGTTTTCACTTTTTGGCTACCTGTATATTCTTCTATTCCTCTTGGATTTTTTTTTTTTTAATTCCTTTTTGTCTTTTTTACTGACCGGTAACGGGATCGCAACCCTCGGTGTTGCGCCCGCACTGCGCTCAGCCAGTGAGCGGGAACCGGTCTCCACATGGGATCCGAACCCTTGGCGGGAGCGCCGCCACACTCCCAAGCGGCGCACTCTCCAGTGCGCCACCGGGCCGGCCCTTCCTCTTGGATTTTGAACCATATGAATGTATTCATATTACTTATTCAAAATAAATATGTGACTTAAAAAAATAACCAAAAAATCACTTCCACAAAGAGGCCTTCCTCAATCTCCCAATCTACAGCAGCCCCCATCACTCTGTGCACACCACCCTGTCTGATATGCTTTCTTGTTTTTGTCTGCCTCCTCCTCAAAATGCAAGTTCTGTCAGAGAAGAGACTGTGTCTGGCTTGTTCATCACTGTACCCCAGTGCACAGGACCATGCAAGGGGGCTCGATAAATATTTTTTGAATGAAAACATACTATTTTTAGCCCCATTTTACTGGAGAGGAAATACAAGCAGAAAAGCTAAGCTACTGGCTCAAGATCATAGTGGTAGAGCTGGGATATGAACCCAGCTCTGCAACTCTACATTCTTTAGCAGTAGTACATCCTTGACCCCCAGAGTCCTCCTGAACAGGTCTTGGGTGGGGCCTGGGCATCTGTATTTAAAAAAAAAATCTGCAGGTGATTCTGATTCGCATCGAGGTTTGAAAAATGACTAGGTGAGAACTATAAAATAAAGAATCTTAGTTGTAACTTAAGAATTATTTAAAGTTAAGAATTAAGAAATAATGAAATTACTATGGCAGATGTGTGGAAGCTAAGAAGGTGTTGGGGCTGCAGAGGCTGGGTGAACACTGCTGCAGGTCATGGAGGCGGCTTACTTGCAGGTCCTCCTCTGACAGGAGGATGATGTTGGACAGATCTTCTTTCAGCTGCCTGGCCACATTCTTCCACTTCAACCCTGCCCCGCTGTCTGTTTCATCTACATCAAAGGACTCTTGGGAAACCCAAGCTGTACCTCCATCTGATGGATGGGAGAAAATGCCAATCACAATCAGTATAACTTGAAGTGCTGTTTTCACCTCCGCCCCCAATACACAGAGACCTCCTGAGGGTGTCTGCATCCTTCCTACTGACCACTCAGAATTTCAGTGAAGGAAGCACCTTTTCTCAAGGATTCACAGGAAAGCCAGTCCCCATCTAGGACCTTAATTTTCCCTCTTCCTCCATCTTCGATTCATTTCTGCATGAAAGTGCTCTGTATTCTTCTATGGAAAGAAGCCACCTCAACAATCCGGTGGTCACACATACCCAGGATCTTATCACACTTCCCTTTTGCTTAGTTTTCATGTGTCTGGGTGTGTTCTGTTTTGGTATACAAAAACATTCAATCTCACTGGCATCCCTCTCATGCTTGGGGACTGGTCCCATCCTTAACTAGTGGAGCTGCAGCCACCGTTTGCTGTCCCTTGCACCTGACTACAAAGGTGGCTGGTCCAGCCATTGCTGAAGGGTGAGTTCCTCAATTTCGTGGCACATGGAGTTTCTTCAAGACACTTTTTAGGTCTCTTATCCTCGATCATCAGTGTTAGTCCCCTTTGTATCTCCAGTGATGATGACGATGATAATGATGATGATAGTGACAGGTAACATTTACTGAGCCCTCACTGTGTGCCATGTAAGATCTAAATGCTTCATATTAGCAGTTCTCAGATGGGAGTGATTTTGCCCTCCAGGATACATGTGACAATGTCTAGAGACTCTCTTGGGTGTCTCACTTGGGGTAGTGGGGTGCTACTGGCATCTAGTGGGAAGAGCCTAGGCATGCTGCTAAATACTCTACGATGCACAGAGCAGATGCTCTGCAACAAAGAATTCTCTGGCCCAAAATATCAACAGTATTGTTGAGAAACCCTGGTTTGATATGTATTATATTACCCTAGGAGATAGGTACCATAATTATTATGTTACTAAGGCACTGAGAGGTTATGTAATTTGTCATTGGTCACCTGGCTACTAAATGGCAGAGCCAGGATTCAGACTCCGGCAGCCTGACTGTAGCCTATAGTACAGATCTCTCTGCCATGCTGCATTTCAGTTGCTGTTAGTCTGTGAGTTAGTTGAGAACTGGACCCGTGTCTCATTCATCTTTATCCCAAGGACTCGGTACTGTATCTGGCACATAAAAGGTGCTCAGTAAACATTTGCTGTATAAATGCTTAAATGCCCAGACGAACAGCAACCAGCTGCCTGTGTAGTAAAATTAACCACAATGGATGTTATACTGCATAGGCTATTTTGTATATGGCCAGCCTTTCTTACCTGTATTGTTATATGCCCACTTCTCATTATTGGCCAATGCCACAAACTTAGTATTGGAAGGTAGACACAGGAAGTAATCATCATCATCCACTATGGTGCCATCCTCTGCCAGTACCAGGGTGACTGGGGTCAGGGACTTATCGATGGCCAGAATGTCACAAGCTGAGAAGAATAAAATATTTGGTAACTGACAAACATCCATAAGGAAATTATATCTGTCTTTGTACCCTCAATATGTATTGCTCCGAAGCCAAGCAGAATTCCTGGTACGTAATAACTATAATAACAACCACAACCACTAGCACTAATATAACACCATGTGTCTCGTGTACGTTCTAAGTGCTTTTCATATATGGTATTTAATCTCATAATATTCCTATAAGGTAGTACTATTGTTCTCACTTTACAGATAATGAACTCAAGGCTCAGAGAGGTTAAGTTAATTTGTCCAGGATCACACAGTTAGTAAATGGCAGAACTGAGATTTGAACCCACGTGATCTGGCTCCTGAAAATGTGTTCGACAGCTGCCTTGCACCCACATATAGGAGGCATTTGAGTCTCTACTTGAATGAACAATAAATCAAAGTCTGGTTTGATTCACTGTGAATAAGCAGTCTTTCATTCACTTATTCAATGGTCATCTTAAGTTGCTTTTCGTTCTTTGTATTATCTTCCTTTGCAGCTTTTCTAATCTATAGGACAGTGTTTTATCAGTAGCTTTTCATTTTTATTATCACTGGGCAAGAGGCTTTCCCTAGGGCAGGTCTGTACCATCCCATTTAGTGATGACAATGCCTAAAATGCTAATGGCACTGGAGTAAGCAGAAATGCCAAGAGACTACAAGTGTCCTTTGGCAATGTTGTCTACCATTCAAATAGAACAACAAGACTTGTACAGGCTAAGCTGCGGAGAACACAAGCCTCCATGTCAAATACATCCAGCCAATGCAGTGAAGTGGCACTAAAATTTAAGTAACCTAAAGCCAGGAAAAAATATGTATATGCTTATATAGCAAAAGCCATGTCACCAAAGCATTTATAGCGCTTTGGCTTCTCCTGGGTCTCTAAAAGACGTCTATATGATATCTGTTGGGGCTTAGTGACTCTGCGAGGAAACACCTATACTCTGACACACCCTGTGATACGTGCCTGGCTCTGTTTCACACGTTTAATCTGTAGAACTTCTTTGGATAAACAATTCTTGCCACAGGCTAACAACACTTGCAAACACCTGAATTTATCATCTCATCTATGAAACTCAACAGCTCTCTGAAACAGCTGGAAATATTATACCCACCCTGTCAAGGAGAAAACTGAAGGTGGAGAGGTGGTCAAGTGCAAGGTCCAGCAGCACGGGCCGGGCTCGGAACTTACGTCAGCTCGGTCACCTACAACTCACGTTCCTTGCCTGGACCTCCAGGAACTGTCAGTAGCAGTTCCCTTTCTGTGGCTCATGTCCCCTACACAGCTGACGGTAGAAACCCGTCCCCGCTCTGTCGTGGGCTCAGCTGGGGGCTCCAGCACCACCTTAGTGAGCAGGAGTGGCGGGAATACCCTGGGCTCGGTTGGGCCCCAAACCTGTGATTTTGGGCCAGACACCTCGGTCTGTCTTCATCCGCACATGGCTTTCTGTCTACCTTTCCACCATTACGAGGAAAAGTTCAAGCGCCTGAACCCTGTACATCGCTGGACCCACGTGGGCCATTTCCGTACCAAGTTTCCACTGGAACTCCAAGAATCCCCTAGTCGCCTCTCCTGCCCCCGCCTTGCCCCCGCCGGACATCCTCGCCCGGCCCGGGATCCCCCAGGGCCCGCCCGGGTCCAGCACCAACCCTTGCTCCTCAGCTCCTCGAGGCAGGAGGCCGCCACGCCGTGCTGGTCGCGGCTGCGGTTGCGGAGCAGCAGACACGGCTTTAGAGTCCGGATCTCGCCGAGTTCCGAAGCTCCGGCACCCCCACGAAACTCCATCTTCCCCAAGGTGAGACCTGACTAACTCCGGGAAATCGGTGGAAACCCCGGGCAGTGGCTCCCCAACGCCCAATCCCTCCCGCGGCATGCCGGGAGCTGTAGTTCTCTCTGCAGCAAATCACGCGTGAGACCAAGGCACGCCGGGAGGCGTAGTTCTGCTTGCCGCTAACGTGTGTGTGGACCCGAGGCATGCCGGGAGCTGTAGTCCCTGGGTTCAAAGCCGACTTGTTCTTGTAGTCGATTAAGCCCGGGAATTTATTTTTACCTTGTATTTGCGAGTTGCAATCGCACGTTCACAAATGAGGTCACTAGGGATTTATTTTGCATAACAAAGTACATGCGTGTACACTACCTTGCATTTCTAGAGCACTCCTGTTTGCATACGTAGATGCATAATGTTAATATTTATTTATTTTTTATTTATTTATTTTTATTTATTTATTTTTTCCTTTTTGTCTTTTTTCGTGTCCGGCAACGGATCGCAACCCTCAGTGTCGCGCCCGTACCGGACCGGGACCGGCAACAGAATCGCAACCCTCGGTGCTGCGTCCGCACCTCGCTCAGCCAGTGAGCGGGAACCGGTCTGTATGTGGGATCTGAACCCTCGGTGGGAGCGCCGCCGCACTCCCAAGCGGCGCCCTGTAGCAGTGTGCCACCGGGCCGGCCCCAAATATTTATTTTTTAAAAAGATGACCGGTAAAGGGGATCTTAACCCATGACTTGGTGTTGTTAGCACCACGCTCACCCAGTGAGCTAACTGGCCATCCCTATATGGGATCCGAACCCGTGGCCTGGTGTTATCAGCACCACACTCTCCCGAGTGAGCCAGGGGCAGGCCCATAATGTTAATATTTAAATAGAACAGTCTGTCATTGTACCGTGTTCATTGGTTTTCCCTTTCCTACCTGAAAAGATTTTTAAGGTGACCTGATGGAAATCAATTCTAAAAACTGACAAGTGTAGTTTCCATTCTTGCTGAAAATGTAACAAAGTAGCATAAGATATGCGCGCATTTCCACCCATTCCATTCCCTGCTTAAGCTCTGCAAATTGGGTTGAGGCCTCGGAACAAAATGCTTAAATAAATAAACATTAAGGTCTCAAATTAATTAGCGAGGAAAGGGGAAATGCGAACCACAGCTTGACAACATACATACCCTTGCTCTAATACTGCTACTTACCGAAAAGTCTGTGTTTTTCTCCTCCTGAAAACTAACATTAAAGATTAGGAGAATAATTAAGAAATACCCAAAAGCTTCCTCGCTTAAAAGAGGGCATTTCATGTAAACTACAAATAATTATCTGCCCATATTCATTCAGGGTCAGTCCCTTTCATATTTTGTCTTTTTTTTTTTTTTTAAAGATGACCGGTAGGGCCGGCCCGTGGCTCACTCGGTAGAGTGCGGTGCTGATAACACCAAGGCCACGGGTTCGGATCCCACTAGGGATGGCCGGTTCGCTCACTGGCTGAGCGTGGTGCTGACAACACCAAGTCAAGGGTTAAGATCCCCTTACCGGTCATCTTTAAAAAAAAAAAAAACAACAACAACAACAACAACAAAAAAAGATGACCGGTAAGGGGATCTTAACCCTTGGCTTGGTGTTGTCAACACCACGCTCAGCCAGTGAGCGAACCGGCCATCCCTATGTGGGATCCGAACCCGAGCCTTGGTGTTATCAGCACCGCACTCTCCCGAGTGAGCCACGGGCCGGCCCTCTTTCATATTTTGTTTATAAAAATGTGGGTGAGGTTATCAGATATTATCTCAAGAAAAGTGTAGGCATTTCCTTTTTTTTTTTTTTTTTTTCTGGGCGGCTGTCCGGAATGGGGCTCGAACCCTAGGCCTTCATGTTAGCAGGACCAGGCTCTAACCAAATTAGCTTACTAGCCAGTCCTGCAGGCATTTAAAACAGTGTTTGATAGGAGGATCATCAGCTAAAGCAACCCTTTCTACTACTCCATATTCAAAATACAACTATCATGTGAGCTAGCAGTTCTAACATAGGCAAACCTTTCCATATAATTTAGTTTAAAACTAACAGTTCAACCACTATAGTCATGACGGTTCGTAGAAGCCTCTCCTTCCTAAAAGGGCCCTTCTTCTGTGTTCTACCAAGTAGACCTGCGCCCCTTTATCGGAGTCCTAACCCCACGAGACTGTAATTCTGTACTTGCTGGGCTTGGAAGTAGGAGTTGGATCTTTTCACAGCTAGTGCCTATCAGGGTTCCCGGCAAGTAGCAGGCACTCAAAGAACGGTCCTGAACCGAATGGCTAAAAATTAATTTCTAAGTCTCTTCACATTCATTCATTCATTCATTACTTAGTGAGTCCCTAAATGGGCCCCACGTTGGGGACGGGCAGAAATCTAATTCTATAAGAATAATACATGTATAACAACGCAGAAAGGACAGAGATTTCAGACCTTCCCGTAAAGCAGAGATAGAATGGAAATAGTGCGAGGTGACACTGTCACCGGGCTTCCAGCCTCTGCCCCGAGCCCCGGCCCCGCCCCCACATCGATAGGATCAGTTCCGGCTACTTTAGTCTGGGCGGGAGGGCGAGAGCGAGGGCGCTTGGGAGAAACCTAGCCCAGCGTCGATAGATTAGTCAGGCCTCAGGAAGATGGCGTCCTCGGAGCAGGCAGAGCAGCCGAGCCAGGTAATGGGAGTGGGACTGGCCCACCGTGGCGGCGGAGACGCCGGCTGGAGGGGGCGCTCGGCGCACGGCTGGGAGCCGCGTGGGTGGGAGCCCCAAGTCTCCGAAACCGGGGGCCCCAACCCCTTGACCCCTCCAGGGCCCCGCCCCTCCCAGGTCTTCCCCGCCCGGCCCCTCCCCCTGTGACCCCTCTTTGACCACATTCCCCAGCCGGGTCTCGGGGGCTGGGCCGCGCCCGTGGGCTCCCACTTGTCGCCGGCCAGCCCCTCCAGTCCCACTTGAGCTTGGCGGGAGGGTGGCGGGACGTTTGGGAAGCCCCCAGGCTTGCGCTGCGAGGGCCCCTTCTTGAGGACAGGATGAGAGAGGTTCGATCGTTCCCGGCTGTCCCCTCCCGGGAGGGACATGACTCCATCAGGGTTCGCAGGCCCCCACAGCCTCAGCCTCCTGAGTGGCCCCGCGGCCAGCCTCTTCGTCTTTAGTCACCGTTGTGCTTTCCTCGCCACGTTGGAGCGTTGGAAATATCTTCGGACTCTCAGTGCGTTGGTAGTAAGGGGACGCACTGTCAACAACAGACGCCACAGCGCTCTTGGCTGCGAATCCATCCTCGCTTCCCTGGGTTCGGTTTTGTTGGCCAAAGGCTCCACTTCAGCTTTACACCTGTACATTCAGCCAAATCCCACTCCAGTAAGGGCTCCATGAAGACCATGTTGACGCCTGTGCGTCTACTGTCGGGTAGCAATGGATGACAAGGCCTGTGAAGGGGTTTATAGTCCAAAGAAGGGTGGGTGGGGTGAGGAGAGGGGGACTGAGACCTTACATTTACTGCGCGTGTGCTGTCATGCTGAGAACAAATTACGTTTGTTATCTCATTTAGTGCTCTCTGCAACCTTTATGAAGTACAGGCTATTAACCCCCATTTCACAGAAGTGGATGCTAAGGATTTGTAGCATGGCCCAAATCACGTGCCCAGTTGAGCCTGGATTTGAACCAGGTATGCGTGACTCCTCTGGCCAGGCATACTTGTTTAAATTTAGTTAGAATTAACCAGAGGAGGCAGAAAATGGTTTCAACCAGGACCTCATCACTCATCTCTCACCTCCTTGAAACGCCTTTAAGAGTTTTCAGCCCCTTTCTAGTATCTCACTTCCTCCCTAGGTGGAAGACCACCACTTAGTGTTTCTTACCGTCTTATTCTTCATGATGTCTGTTACAGGAATTGCACTTAGAGGAGTTGGTGTGTTTCCCAGACCAGCTTCTGTTAGCAGTGTAAATGATTCAGGAAGATGTCTGCATTGTAAAACATGGGAAATAACTAGGAGTGATTCTGGCCTTCCCACTGTCAGAAGTTCTAGAGTTTGTGGAGTGTCGTGGCAGAGGGGACTTCTTTCTTGCCTTACCTCACTTAGTTTGCTGAGGCTCATCAGGGCCAGGCTTTCTCTGAACCCTTTTGTGTTAAGAATGCCCACAGGTAGTTCCTGATTCTTTGAGGACAATTAATTTGCAAGTGCTGTGAAGAGTACTAAAAATCTTGCCACTTGGAGCCATTGTCCTGTACAAGGATTCCCTTGGTTCTGGCGGTTGTCCCCTCTGTACATGTGGAAAAGGATCTACAGTCCTTTAAGGGGGCTTGGCCAATGCTTGTTTGGTTTTCAGCTCAGCCTCTCGTTTGCCTCCTTTCCAAAGCTGGTAGAGATGGGATTGCATCAGAATATGCTGGCAGCCTGAGAAAAACTTGCACTCTTCATGCCAGATTCTATCACCGTCTAACAATAAGCTGGAAATGAACGTTTTTTAAGTGAACCAACTCTTTTTCGCACTTGCTTGTCATTTCATTTTCAAGTCCTGATCAACCTGGTTTCCCATTTCTCCAGTCAGAGCAGAATGGGATTGAAAGGACTATTTGGATAATTCCCCCAAACCTGATTTATATGTGAGAAGAGTTGTACAGGGTTAGACCTGTGGGGGTGAGCCAGTATTTTGTCTCTCATAGGAAGTTTGTTAGTCGGCCTTATGGCATCAATCTCTTGTTTCTAAAGAGTAGGGGTGAATAATGCTCTCTTTCCTGAAAAGGCAGTAGAGAGCAGTAGTTACAAGTATAGGCTCTGAGGCCAGCCCTTCTGGCTTGGAATCCTAGCCCTACTACTTACCAGCTGTGTGATCTTGGACAGGTTACATAACTTTTCTGGCCTTAATTTCTCCATCTGTAAAATAGGAATAATACTAGTATGCCTGTCTCATAGAGTTGCTCTGAGGATTAAATGATTTGATTTATATAAAATTACTTAGACACAATGCGTTGTTTATTATTATTCCATTTAATAAGCTCTGGATTTCACTCACAAATGGATCTAAACCTTTCCTCAAGCCCTATTAAAGTATCTTTTGGGGTATGCTAGTAAAGTTCTTTCATTTGTTCTGAAATAATTTCCTTGAAATTTAAAGGAATGCCCGAAAGCTGGTGTTTCTGCTAGCTGTCCTTCGTGACTTAGATTTCAGGGACATCCTGGCTTTTTCATAATGGTAAAGTATAGCCTTTTTAGTCTATTCTCAAGACAATTTTTTGGAATTTCATTTATTGCTTCATATCCTTGCCCTGTTTTCCCCACGTTGCTCTGTTTTGCGTAGCTAGTTTCTTCCTGAAGTCTTTTCTAGTCTGTACATGTTGTGGCCTAGAGGAAGAAGAGATGTTATCCCTATCTCTCTCCTTTCCCACTAGCTTTTCTGTCTTCAGCATAGAGCAGAGGCCTGGTTCAATCTGATATGCTTAACAGTTATTGATTGTTGAGGATTATTACAGAACGTAGATTTCAAATCTGGTAAAGTTCACTGGATATAGTGAATTTTGGATCGAGAGGACACAGAAGATGAGAAGGGAGAAGAGCGGAGTGAAGGAGTGGGAGAGCGTGGCCTCGTATCCTGACAGATTTTGCTTAGAGCTTCAGCACTCACAGCTATCGTCCTTGTCATTCCACCTTTCTGAGCAGCCCCTTCTCCTCTGTAAAATGGGAGCGACAGGAATCACCTAGAGGGTTGCTATGAGAGTTGGCTGGAATCACAGATGCGAAGAGCAGCTGGTGCATAGTGAGTGCTCCACAAGTATTAGCCTTCTTCTCCGAGTCTCTGCGTGTAGTTTGGAAGTTTGTTACTCTTGAATGACAGTAGTTTAAACGAGGTATTTTTCCCCTCAACTTCTTCTTTGGAAAAATTTCTAACCTATAGAAAAGTTGAAAGAATAATACAGAGAACTCCTGTAAAACGAACACAGAAACTTCACCAAGATACACTGTTCACATTTTGCTGAATTTGCTTTATCTGTCTCTTTATATATCTTTTTTTTGGAAGGATTTATAGTAAGTTACAGATATCAGAATATTTTATCCTTGAGTACTTCACCTTGTCTTTCTTTCATAAAAGTAATGTTATTCCTCTACATAATCACAATACCATTCATACACAAGAAATGTAGTATTGATAAAATAATATTATTTAATTTATAATCCACATTCAAAATTTCCCAATTAGGATCCAGTCAAGAAACAGGGATTGCATTGATTTGTCTCTTTAGTTTCTTTAGTCAGCTTTACTCTAGAATGGTTCCCTAGTCTTTTAAATTTTTAAAAAACTTTTTAGTGAAGTTTAACATATCCCAGAAAGTACGAGGGAATCTTCAAAATGTTCATGGAAAGATTCGTATTATCTTTTAATTCAATGCTTCTTGGTCTTTTGGCTAAGGTCAAGTGCATATTGTCTTTTAATTCTATTTCCCTCGAACTTTTTGGGTTATCCTTGTATACAAATCATGCGTACAGCTTGGTGAATTTTCACAAAATGAGCACACGTGGGCAACCACTACCCAGGTCAAGAAGTCAAACACTACCAAGACCTCAGAAGTCCCCCTCATGGCACTCCCGTCACTATCCCAACCCCCCAAAGGTTGGCCCTGTTCTGACTTATAATATAGATTAATTTTATCTGTTTTTGAACTTTATGTAAACAGAATTATAAAGTGTGTCTGGCTTCTTTTACTCAGTGTTATATTTATGAGGTTCATCCATGTGGTAAGCAGCAATAGTTTATTATCACTGCTATATATAGTTATTAAATTGTATGAATATGTCTGATCATTTATTATTAACCATTCTACTCTTAATGGACATTTAGGTTGTTTCACTTTTTGGGTTAGTACAAATAGTGCTGCTATAAAAATACTTGTGTGTGTCTTTTTCTGAACGCATGTATGCATTTCTGGTGAGTTCATCTACCTTTTTTGTGTTTTATGATATTGACATGTGTGGAGAGTCTGGGTCATTTGTTTTGTAGATTGTTCTTCTATCTGTATTTGTCTGATTTGTTTCTTCACATTTAGATCCAGGTTAAATATTTTTTGCAAGAATATTCTGGAAGTGACATTGTGTCCTTCTTAGTGAATCACATCAGAAGGCGTGTGATACCAGTTTGTCCCATTATTGAACATAAGTTTGGTTTCTTGGTTAAGGCAGTGTCTTGTCAGATTTCTCCTTTGTAAAGGTAAGTCGCTTTCTTTGTGACTTTGCTAGTATTCTAATACCTTAGATTTAATATCTTCTCAAGTGGCAAAATTCTTGTGGCCTAAACCTTACTGTAGAATTCCCATAGGTGTGTTGTGGTCAATTTAAAGAGTTTTGACAAATCTTATGTACCTGTGTAACCACCACCCAGTCAAGATCCAAACAATTCCAGGGCTAGCCAGTTAGTTAACTCAGTTGGTTAGAGTGTGGTGTTGTAATACCAAGGTCAAGGGTTCAGATTCCTATACCTGCCAGCTGCAAAAAAAAAAAAAGTTCAAAACAATTTCAATATCCCTAAGTGTTCCCTTATGCTCCTTCCCAGTGAATCCCTGGCTTTCGCCCCAGGAAACCTGAACTGCTTTCTATCACTATAAATTATATTTGTCTTTCCTAGAATTTCATGTGAATGCATTCATTATATATTCTTTTATGTCTTGCTTCTTTTGCTCAGAGTAATGTTTGTGAATCTTATCCATGTTGTTGTGCCTGTCAGTAATTCATTACTTCTTATTACTGAGTAGTAGTTCATTATGTAGATATCCCCCAATTTGTTGCTCTATTCACCAGTTGATGGACATTTGGATTGTATTGGTTTTCTATTGCTGTTTAACAGTATTACCAGAAATTTAGCAGCTTAAACAGCACATGTTTATTATTTCACAGCTTCTGTGGATCAGGAGTTAGGACATAGCTTAGTTGAGTCTCACCAGGCTGCAGTCAAGGTGTCTGTAGGGTCTGCGGTCTCATCCGGGGCTTGACTGGGGAAGGATCTGCTTCCTATCACGTGTGGTTGTTGGCAACATTCAGTTCCTTAGGGACTGTCAGACTTGGACTGCAGTTTGTTACTGTCAGCTAAAGGCCATCCTCAGTTTCTTGTTATGTGGTTCTTTTTGGCATGGCTGCTTGCCTCCTCAAAGCCAGCAAGGGAGAGAGTCTCTTAGCAAAATGGACATTACAATCTTGTATCATTCCCACATTAAGGTAATTACATACATCCTGTCACCTTCATCGTACATTATTGGCCGGAAGCAAGTCACAGATCCTGTCCATACTTGAGATGGGACATCAAATGGGCATGAATACCAGGAGAGGGATCATGGGGGTCACGTTAGAGTCTGTTCCTGCAGGATTGGTTCT